GGTTTCTCACTCGTGTATCATCAATGTATCGTTGTATGGCCCTGTTGTATTTTTGCTGGCTGTATCATTGGCTCTCATCTGTACCATCATCATATTGTAGCTATAGCGTGGCTTGGAGGATAATACATTGTTGCAGCTGATTCACGCGATCCCAACACGGGTCGGTTTCTATGCCGACTTCTCCTCGTCGCTCTCGTCTAGATCGATCATGCGTCCTTCTGACGATCCGATAGCCCTTCCAAACGCCTTCCTCTCTTCCCCTTCGAGCTCGTCGTCACTGTCTGGGAACGCTAAAGGGGTGCCCACATCTTCTGCGTTGTCCAGAGCACCATCATCAGCTGCAGGCGGAGGGGGGTCCATTGTCTCGGAGGGCGGAGCCTCCGGCTGTCGAACACAGGACTGCCTCTTGCCGGGATGCGGTCCAAGCTCGATTTTGCGGTTCGCCGTCAGAACAGCAAGGGCTTCCAGCTGCGATAGAGCATTGAGCTGAAATACAATGCGTGTCTGAAACGTGTTACTATACCTTGCTTTGCGCGCCCACATGCCTCGCACCCCTTCCGTCCTTAGCAGTGGGGTCAAACCCAAGCTGCCTGATCAGCCCCGCCGAATATGCGCTCTTTCGTCTATCACCGTCTTCGTCTGTCTTTGCGGTATTCCGCTCAGACTCGTTCTTCGCCGCCGTCTTTCCCGACCCTTGTGCCCTTGTCCCCGCTTTTGCCTTGCCCTTACTCGCTTGCTCCAACCCCTCCGCCCTCCGTTTCGAGAATTCCCGCGCAGCGCTCAGCGCCCTCGTTCCCTCCTTGTCTCGAGCTAGCAACTTCTCCAGTGCTTTGTCTGTATCCGCCGCCGCCACCTTCCGCACTGCCTTCGCCTGCGCGTCTCTGCCCATGTTCTCCCCAATGTACATCGACCCCGAGTCTGAGCCAGACACGATGTGCCCTGAGACTACGTACGTCGCTCCGGGTGTGTGGCTCTCAGGTTTCAACCCCCATTGTTTCGCTGGGTCGTACGCCACCTTCTTCGACGACTTCGCAGAACTGCCCATCCCGCTCGTTCTGCACGTGCCAATGTATGAGACCAGCACGTCTCGAGCAAAAACAGAGAGGAAGACAACTAACCCGACCGCGAACTCAGGCCTTGCCGCCCGCCGGCGTTCGATCGCGTTCTGAACGTGGTAGTCGCACACGTCGCTGACACGCTTGTCGCACCACGACGTGCACCGAGTCCCGTCGCGCTTCATCGCTTTGCACATGCCCAGGTCCTGCGCATAGCCGATCACTGCGATGGACGCGTCTGACTCTGGGGTGAGAGCGAGGATGTTCTCCGTCGGATGCGGTTTGTCCGAAGAACGCTGACCGACATCTCAGAGGCTGGGGGAAGTGGCAAGCACAGGGTTGAAGGGACGCACCTGGAACGGCTTCAAAATCTTTGGGTTCAACAACGCGATGACCGCGCCCTCCCTCAGCTTCGATATCCGCTCAAACGCCCCTTTACTCCCACCCCTGTATACCTTCTCCTTCGTCCCGTCCTCCTTCGTCACTATATCGCACGTATCCGACTCGAACAGCAACAGCGACAGAAACGCGTCCCCACGTATCTTCGCTGTGCCGCCATCCGCCGAAGATCCGCGCGACCGGCATCCGAAGTCGATCAGCCGCATGTTCACGTACTTCTTCCCGCCCTGCTTCCCACCCTCCTCTGGCCGCTTCTGACGTTTCTGGTATGGGGGCGGGCGAGACGACCCAGCCTGTGCAGAAGGCGTGTCGAGAGACGGGAGTTCGTCCATCTTGTCCTGGTCGCCGTCTTGCTTCAGCTTGTCGTCGTGGGTGACGCCGACGGGCGGTGCCTGGGTGTACTTCATCTTGCCGCGTTCGGCGACAACTGCAATGGTGACCCAGTCACCCGACACGGGGACGTCGTAACCCTGCTTGTTTGGGAGCAGGCGGACGACTGAGTATAGCTTGGAAGGCGATAGATAGTACCGTCCTCGAAGGTGGTCCTGAAGTCTGCATGAGGTAGCACG